AATGTTGGTTTTGTTTTTTCAAGGAATGATTTTTTTTTTTTTTTTTTTTTTTTTTTTTAAACAGGCATTGCAGCTTCATTTGCTGTCAAGCTTTTTAAAGCCTGGATGGCAGAAAAAGATGCCAACTCTGTTACCTCTTCCTTGAGAAAAGCCAACTTGGACAAGAGGCTGCTTGTAAGTGTTTTCACGTTTAAAAAAAAAAGAAAGTGGGGAAAGGTTGTTAAGCACAATTCTTCTGCAAGGGCTTTGGCAATTCCAATAGCGTAATACAAAACTAGAATCCCAAGCTGGTGCTGAATTGGGAAAGCATTTCTTTTCATTCTACAAACTTGGCCAAAAGAAAATAATTCCATTTTCATCTTTGGTAAATAAAGGGCCTGATAAATTTAAGGGATCATAGGAAATGGAAAGACTTTCAGATCGGAAAGTTGGTTACTATAGGATGCTAACATTTTCTCAGAATTAAAACTTTCTTTGGTAACCAATAACTTTATGGAAATCCAGTGCTTTAATGTGATTTTTTTTTTTTTTAATTCCCTAACATACAAGGCCTTGGGTATGCTTCCCAGCACTGAGAAGGGGGAAATTCTATCAGTCCCACCAAGTGAGATACTTGTAATGTCTTGGCAGGCATGAGACTACACTGATCTCAAACGTATTAAATAGTTAGTAAAATCAGACTCTAAACAAGATTGGAAATATTATAGTTAATTTGAAACTTTCATGATCACAGCTATTTACTTATATTTTTTTTGGTACCGGGATTGAACTCGGGTCCTTGCGCTTGCAAGGCAGGCCACCGAACCGCTGAGCTAAATCCCCAGCCCCATCTTTGTATTTTTTAAAGAAAGTCAAGACAATTATTTTGTTTTTATACTTTCTTCCTTCACTCTGCAATTTCTGCTAGAAGCAACGGCTGTGCAGATGACAAAAGTTCCTCTCAGTGGAATTGCTTTTGCAATTCTGAGTCTAGAATTAAGATGTCCCTGCCATTTTCTCTTCATTAGTCTGTTGTCTGCTTTTCTCTTCCAGTATGTTTCAGTGTGGAAGGGTGCCAATCCAATGAGTAGTTTCAGAACTCTCTTCTTCTCAAGAGAAGCTGAAAATAATGATAACTATAAATACTTGTACTTTTAATCTTTTGGGGGGTTTTCTGAGACAGGGACTCACTGTGTAGTTGAGACTGATTTAGAACTCACTATGTAGCCCAGGCTGGTGTCAAACTCCCAGCGATCCTCCTGCCTCAGTTTCCCAGAGTGCTGGGATTATAGGCATGCACCACCCCACCCGGCTTTGTTTTTTGTTTTGTTTTGTTTTGTTTTGTTTTTGGTACCAGAGATCAACCTGGGTCTTTGTGCTTGTGAGGCAGGCGCTGGAACCACTGAGCTAAATCTCCAGCCCCGCGGCTTTGTATTTTTAAACATTTAAAATTCCTTTGTCTCATGAAGTTTGTCTTTACATCAGGATGAGGAAGAAATTTTTAGCCTAGTTTCTAATTAATTTCTGCTAGCAGCAATAATTTTCATCTAGCATATTTTTATTGAGTGCATGCTGTGTGCCAGGCGTGATCCTAGAACCTGTGATTCTATTACAGAACACGAAGGGTCCCCAGGATGTAGCTCCATGGTAGAGCTCTTGGTTGGCATGTGTGAGGTCCTGGGTTTTAATCCCCAGTACCACCAGGAAAGAAAGCAAGAGTCCACTTTATGGTAGATTTAGAGCAGATCCTTATAAATAGAAGCAAAAGTTATGAAAAATAAACTGAACATATTTTTTGTCCAGGAGTCTGACTTGCCCAAGGATCTTAGTTAGGCTTGGCTGGGTTCCATATGTCATCATTCTAGGGCTCAGACTGAAGAAGCAGCTCCCATCTGGGGCATCCTGTGCTCAGGGCAGTGGACAGGAACACAGGCTGACCTGAGCCTCTCAAGTGCGCCCAGATCCACCCTTGTATCTAGGCAAAAGGAAGTCACTGGCAACAGGGTAGGAAAATTCAATCCACTGGCCCATTGCAGCAAGAAGGAATGTCTGCATGGTCATGTATTTTGGGGGTGAGGCGCATACGTGGTAGTTCTACCAGCTGGGCAAAGTCAGGGCCCTGGACTGTGCCTGCAGATGTAAGTTGACTGAGCACATGAACGAGGAACTAGGGCATCGGTTCCATCCTTACGGAGGAAAGGTTTGTTTCATGCAGACATACAATTCTCTTTAATTCTGAGCTACTACACTTCAGAAAAATAGCATGTTATCAGATCTTATCAAAATACTAATGTAGCATAGAAGAAAAATTTACAATTAAGAGGAAAGTGAGAGTGAAAAAATCTCCCCCGTTACTAAAAAAGAGAACAGTGATTAAGAAATTGAAGTTGCTGTCGTCCTTTATTGAATAAGTAAATTTTGGTTATATTATGTGCTAGAATATTTCTGGAACTAGGGATACTGACAGGAAGCAAACAAGCACCCTTCCTTATGGGCGAATATTCTACTCGGGAGACCGAGCAGTGAACCAAATAGGCAAGTGTGATAAATGACGGCAGAAATGATGTCGGGAAAAGCTAAAGCATAATAGAATAGGGGAAGCAGTTTGTGGGGACCAGGGAAGACCTGTGTGATAAAGCGACATTTGTTCAAAGACTTAAAGAAGGTGAGGGAGTGTGAACTATAAAGAGAAGAAAAGCATATGAGCCTCAAGACAGCCAGAGTGTAGCTCAGCTCAGAGAAGGAGCTAGCCCATGTCATCTGGGCACTGACTTTACTGCAAGTGACACAGAAGCTTTGGAAGTTCTCTTTGCAAAACGTGTGCATAATGTGCTTTAGATTCTTAGTCATGTGGTTTTTTTATTGGAATAGAATCAGGAGCAAGGGCAGCAGCACAGGGAGACCTTAATCTGGAAGTGAGAGGATAGCTTTATACCACAGGAACGTTTCTGTTGCCAGGTGTGCTGGCACACCCCTTGTAATCCCAGCTCCTCAAGATGCTGAGGAAGGAAGATCACAAGTTTAAAGCCACCCTGAGCAACTGAGTGAGACCCTGCCTTAAAATAAAAATTTTTAAAGAGCTGGGGATGTGGCTCAGTAGTAGAATGCTTACCTAACATAGGTGAGGCCTTGGGTTCAGTGCCTAGTACTTCAGAACAAAACAAAAGAACTGAAAACAAAATAGGCTTTTCCAACAAATACAAACCTTGTTCCAAGCCACAGAATGACAGTCTGATTTAGACTGGCTTTGCCTCAGTTTAATCTGAATAATAATTTTCAGGATGTTACATAGCATTCATGAGCACTTTGCATGTATTTCGTAAACTATGAGTAATATGTCAGGTGGCATATTGTGCTGAGCCTAACTTTAGATCACACTTTGCAGTCACATTCTTCCTGAACAGAATATTGAGCTCCAGACCGAGGAGTGAAATAAGCATTGCCTCTGGTGCCAGTTGCTCTGTCCTTAAATATTTCTAGATGTATTAACTGGGTCAAGCAGCTAAGCTTCGCTGAGGCTGAACTTATCATGTAGAAAAATTTGAAAGTACCAAGCCTTTTTGATTCATAGAAGAAACTCCATGAAATTAAATTTTTTCCCTCCCCTATATTTGGAAGCTCTTGAGTGATAGTGAAAATATTAGTGATGAAATTTCAGTCTATGGTCTATGAAATATTTGCTTTAACAGAAATGTGTACTGTATTTGATAGCTGTTCCCGCCATCTCTGTTCTGACATTTTGAAACACAAGCCTCGAGGACAATTGTAGGACAATAATATAGGGAATGGTGTAATTTAAGTCCTGGCAAAGAAGCCCTCTGGCATTGTTCCTATACCTGGTGGCAAACCCATTACAGATCTCTCCACTGAGCTGCATAGCCTTTGGCTATATATATGCAAATCTAACCAATATAAAGTTTGAATCTTTTTTAGGAATTTGAAAATGTGAGAACTTTGAAAATTTTCTTCATTTCATAGTTGGGTGTTGAACTCATACAGGATTAGATCATGACTAAACGTTGCTGAGATTCTGCCAAGCTGTGTAGGATAGAATGAAATGTGAAAATATGAAAGCAGCTATGGTATATTGCTCTTTTTTGAAAAAAAGAATTACATCTGAATTATGAGAAATTGGTAGGGTAAGTTTAGATTCAATCTCACTGCGAGTTTGAGGACCGCCATCACTAACAGATAATGACAAAATTCTCTTTTGCTCCTGAGCTAGTATTTTAGAATAATAGCAGCATTTTCTCAAAATGACAGTAAAGGTCCTTAAGAGGAGAATCATGTTGTTTTCTAGTATTATCCACAGTCATTTCAGCATTACTAAAATTGACTTTTGTCTGTCAGCTCATAGTGAAGAAAACAGTAAATAAGTAATGATTTCAATTTTTCTTAATTTAAAACAACTCAAATACTATTTGAAGTTATCTTACTTGTATATAATTTGGCGTTGTTCTGTGTTCACAAACCCCCATTGATTAAAGGAAAGGAATAAAAGGACTAAGCGCTCCAAATGAGTGAATCCAGTTTATCTAAGTAGCTTAACATTCTCTCTTTGAAACATTGCTTCACTTTAGAAGTTGCTTGGTGCAATAAATATCCTAGCGATTTGTTTTGCAAACCACTTCTTGTTTCTGCTCTTCCAAATATATCTTCGGCGGTATTATGATATGAAAATTTTGCCCTTTATGCTTGCTGAAATTGGAAAAGCTCCTTGTGTAACAGCCTCTTCCCTTCCTCTTCCAGGAGCTCTTTCCCGTTAACAGGCAGAGTGTGGATCACTTTGCTAAGTACTTCACCGACGCGGGGCTCAAGGAGCTCTCCGACTTCCTCCGCGTCCAGCAGTCCCTGGGCACCAGAAAGGAGCTGCAGAAGGAGCTCCAAGAGCGGCTGTCCCAGGAATGCCCGATCAAGGAGGTGGGAGACCGGGCAGCCACAGACAAAAGCTGGCGTCTTGCACAGTGGTAGAGTGCTGGGCAGCACCCGTGAGGCCTGGGTGTGACCCCAGCAATGGGGAAGAGTGGATGGAAGGAATTCTGTGTGCAGGTTACGTAGCGCAGGCTTACGGAGTGCGCTTACCTCTTTGCTATGAACTGCGTCCTCTCGTTCCTGCCATTTGAATTAGCTCAAAGTGCTGACTCGGAACCCTCCATTTTATTACACTGTAGGGTGACCAGAAATTAAAATGACTTAATTTAAAATATTTCACCTGGTAAATAGATTTGACTGTCTGCCATCAGAATATACAGTAATACGATATTTTTCTATTTTGTTTTAGAATGTATGATCAGAGTAAGCATTTTATTCATTTTTGCAATCAGTACAGCGCATTTTGAGCATCACTGGGGATGAAACCCAGGGCTTGCCTAGGAAGCAAGCCCACTCCCCCGAGCTATACTCCCAGCCCCTGGGATTTACATAACTATATAGGCATACTTTGTGAAGCCTTAGTTCTTTGGCTATGACTGTATCTTTTTGAAGTACTTGAGATAACTTCACATTGAAACTTTTGAAAAGAACTTTTTTAGGACAACCCAAAAGTCAGTAAAGAAGTCTTTTTCCTTTGCTGCTTGCTCCCAAATCCCTGACCTTCCCATCGTCCCACCCCTTGCCGTACTTTAAACCAGTGGTTGCAAACCTGTGGTACTCGTGCCAGAGCAGGCACACAAACTGTCAGCAAAGCAGCCAGGTTGCCCCAGCAGCCAACAACAGCCGGATAACAGGTTTTTTTTGTTTGTTTGTTTGTTTTTTTTTTCCTAAACTAAAACCTCAGTATTCAGGTTTAATTGCAGTGTCGGCAGTTTGCAATAAATCATGGGTTTTAGGTTGCAGTTTGGGTATTTATCTCTAAATGGTTTGTCGTCATTGCTCTGAGCTCTGCAAGGCTCCTACCATAGTTGAGGGCTGGAAAATTTCAAATTGATAACATCAGCACATGGAAGTGTTGAAGCAGGTCCCTTAGCTCTGAGGTCAGCAGTACACTCGATAATTTTCTTCAAGCTAGAACTTGTACATGACTTTTCATGGGAAATGAAGCAAAACCAAAACCCATCATGATGCTTTGAGATGCTAGGACGTCACCCTGGTTTGCAGTTCCCCCAGGCAGCTCAGAGACTGGGATTGCCCAGCCACTGCTGCTATTCTGTGATCCAGGCCAGAAGCCAAAGCAGTGTCTCTTCCCTCACAGAGGAAAGGGAAGTGTCTTACTCACTTTCTCACCAATGGAAACAATACCCAACACCCACAACTTAAAGGAGGGGAGGCTTATTTCAGCTCAGAGTTTCAGCCCATGGTTGCTGGCTCCAAGGCAGAAACAGGATGGCTGGGGGCACCTATGGGGGAAAAGGTCTCAACCCGTGATGGCCAGGAAACGCAGAGAGAAGGGAGGTACAGCCTTTGAGGTCATGGCCAAACCTCCAGCCAGGCCCCACGGCCTAACAGCACGCAGCCATTGAACTCATTATTGGTTGCATCCACTGATAGTATAGCAGCCTCCTGATCCAGTCACCTTCCAAGAGTCCCACTTCTGAACACAAGAAGCCTTTGGGGAGTGGGGCACTCCTCTGCCATAAAGGTGAATGAATCATTTGTAGGAAAATGGATGCACCTGGAGACCATAATGTTAAGTAAAATAAATAAGATAGGCAAGCTTCAATACCACGTGGTTTCTCTTATAAGAGGAACCCAGAGTAAAAATAAAGAACAAAATAATAGATAACAGGAAGTAGGGAGACAGATTCTTCTCCAAGGAGAGTAGATTAAGAAATGAAGGGAGGGGAGGGAGGGAACGGATAAGGGCTGAAAAGGGAATTAGGATGTGTTAGGTGCATGTACCAACTCTGTACAATGTAAATGTGAACCGCAAACATGTGCAAAGGAAAAGGGACTAAAGAAATGGGCAGGGTGTATGAAATAGGAATTAAGAAGTGCTGTGTCTGTGTGCCAGCTCCCCCCACGTATGTAAAGATCATGTAGTGTGCACATGTGCTAATAAACAAATTTGTTTAAAAGATGTTTTAAAAAATCAACAGGAAAACAAAAGTTAAGCTACTTGTAAAATAATGCTTACGATAAATTATGGTTTTTACTCCTAAGGCCCTAACCTCAATCTAAATAAATATAATATAAAATACATTGTTAGGCAGACTTAAATTCCATACTGGTAAACTTGAGAATAAATCTACACATTTATGCATAATTCAAAGGCCAAAAGAAACCTGCTGGGTGTTTCTGAATCGATGAGTGATGAGTGTTACTCTTCTGTGTAGATGTCCCCCCCAGGGCCTCATGCACTTATAGGTGGGGCTTTTCAGAGCTCTCTGGATCTAGAAATTGTGATACGTGGATTAAGTGTGTGTGGTACTAAATTAGTACACTGATTGGAATTAGCACAGTTCTGGTGGCACCACCCAAAGGCCGGGTGACCTGAATGGGAAAGACGGGCTGCTGCTTGCTGTCTTCTGCCTGCCATGCTATGGACCGTTCCTCCTCTGTGAGACCCCTCTACCATGCTGCTCTGCCTCAGAGCCAGACCACTATGGACTGAAACCTCTACCAAATGTGGACTAAATAAACCTCTCCTCCTTTAACTCATGGGACTTGGGTATTTTGTCCCAACAATGAAAAATATAGCTAAGACAATGTATCAAATAAAGAAATGTCTTTGTATTTATAATTTGTGTACAAATTAATTTTTCACTGAGAATGAGACATAGGAATCCACAAAGGTAATCATTGAATAAATTGTGGAGAATGGACTTGTATAAATCAAACAAGTTCAAAATCAGCCAGGCATGTTGATGTGTACCTATAATCCCAGTACTCTGGGAGGCTGAGGCCCTGAGGAGGATCACAAGTTTGAGCCCAGTCTGGTCAATTTAGCAACTTAAGATCTGTCTTAAGAGGTAGGAGTGTGGGTCATTGTGATGGCCCTGGGTATAATCCTCATACCACCACCACCACCCCCAATTTAAAGTTGAGATAAAAATCCACAGCTCTTTTTGCCTTCTTGAAACCCAAGTGAGTCAAACCGTCTCATGTCCTTACACTACCCCAAAGGGATTGCACCATGTAAAATAAAGAGGACAAAAGTCCTCTTAGCCCATGCTAGCCAGATATAAACCTATTAGTTTTTGGAGTAAAAGTAAATATGCTTTAAGAACAAATTATGCTTTTTCTTTCCTCTTGTATTCTGACAATATGAAGAAGGAAGTGGAGAGAACATTGCTTAAACTACCTCAAACCTCTTGCTGACCAGGCAGGGCAGTGAGTAGGGAGCTCGGGCTCCTCTTGCTTTCTGACCCTTTTTCCATTAAATGCAGGTGGTGCTTTATGTCAAAGAAGAAATGAAGAGGAACGATCTCCCTGAAACCGCCGTGATTGGACTCCTGTGGACCTGTGTGATGAACGCGGTGGAGTGGAACAAGAAGGAAGAACTTGTTGCAGAGCAAGCTCTTAAGCACCTGAAGGTAAAAGCCTACTAAGGAACTGTCCCCATTGTGGGCCATTGTGTCTCTCCAGCATGAAAGAGTGCAGTGGGGAAGCTGAGGCAGGAGGAGCACAAATCCAAGGCCAGCCCGGGCAACTTAGAACCAGTCTCAAAAAATATACAGACAAAGCTGGGGTACAGCAATTAGGCTCCACCTGTGATTTTCCCAGAATCACGCTAAGTATATGCAGCCTACTTTTTCTCCTTTTCAGACTGCTGCTGCGTGATATGCTCCTGATGTAAGAACATGTGAAGTATCTCAGAATGAGATTTTAGTAAAAATAATACCAGAAGGGCCAGGGGTTTAGCTCAGTGGTTCCACCACCTGCCTTGTAAGCTCAAGGTCCTAAGTTCGATCCCCGGTACCAAAAAATAATGAGAATAATAATAATAATACCAGAAAAATCCGCAGACTCATCATATATGATGTGCACATGTTACAGAGAAATAGGACCTAAATGATTGGTTTTCTTTCTGTTCCATAATTTCCAAAAATTTATCAGAAACTGATAAATTGATAATAGAATTGGTTGAGTATCTGATTGTTCAAAGAAATCAGCTAATTTCTGTACATCAGTTCTGTATTTCTGTGCATTGATACAGAGTTTTGCTGGTATTGTTTTCTCACTGTAAAAATGTATTACAAGTATAAGACTTAGATCTTGCCTCCTGCGTTTACACTTGAACTGAGCGGTTATGATCAATGTCATAGAAAGTGACACTCAGTATTTATGAGAACAAAGAAGACAGTTCTGCAGGCTGCCCTACTCAGGGAAGCTCCTCGGAAGAAGTAGGTGTTGAACTGAGTAGGTCTTGAAGAAAACAATGGCTACACATCAGTGAGAGAAAGCCTGGGACATTTGAGGTAAAGGGAACAATAGGGACAGGTGGCCAGGGCGGAGTCTGGGGTACTTGGAAGGTGAATCCAGCTCTTCCGGGGCACTGACTGTAAATAGGTAGCACATAGCACGTTCCACACAAGAGGCACAGCAGCTGTCTTTAGTAAAGGAGAACTTCATGGTATATCTCTTTTAGTGGATACAGTGAGATGAATCCACTGGGATAAAGCAGTTCATTTTGATTGAACACGGTATGATGATTCTAGAACTTAGTGTTTTCCAAGCAAACCTTCCAATTGCAGCAGTGTTGGCACCACAGCTCCCACTGGAGTAACGGGGTTTACTGTCCACTTCTGTTCTAGCAATATGCTCCCCTGCTGGCCGTGTTCAGTTCCCAAGGCCAGTCAGAGCTGATCCTCCTCCAGAAGGTCCAGGAGTACTGTTACGACAACATCCACTTCATGAAAGCCTTTCAGAAGATCGTGGTTCTCTTTTACAAAGGTAACCAACCATCCATGTTGTTCAGTACTGTTTCTTGTTTTGTTGAAGCCCTTTGAGGGCAGAGCAGGGGTTAGGTAGCGATCACAGGGTTCTGTTTATGAGGGGACAGCTAATCTGTGGACATCTCAGTGAGGCTGTCTTACCATGGAGTCCATGTGCCATATACATCGCCTCAGGAACCATCCTGTTTAGGTGCTGGGCATTTCTCACTGCTAAAAGTTGCCAGAATACTTATGATGAACTGGTTATTGTTTCTGGGATGATGAAAGAATGTAATTATATGAGATAATTGAGTCTGCTTTTAAATTGTAACAATTAGCTTTAATAACAATGATTATCAAAATACTATATATATATATATATAGTGTTCAGACCCTTTCAGGTGCCATAAAGCTGACTTGAAAATTGCTGAAATAATTAGCCTTTTCACTTGGCATTTTAGTCATTTGGCCCAGGCATTCTCTTATTTTCCAAAGAAATGGCTATTTTTAGGTTTTCACATTTACTGCCTTTTCATTGCATTTATAAGGTTTAGGTTGTCATGACAACTGGCACTAAAAATGAATGCTAAAGGTTTCAACTGATCTGTCTCTCTACCTACATTAAAAAAAAAGATCCTGCAATATTCTGTGGTCTACATTTATATACTTCCATGAGAGAGAAAAAGGACACTTAAGAAATACATTTTGAACATTATAAAATCCTCATTAGAGGGCTGGGATTTAGCTCAGTGGTTCTACCACCTGCCTCGCAAGCGTAAGGTCCCAAAATCCTCCTTAGAAGTTTTTATAAACATAAATGACATATAAGAAGAATTAAAGTATAAAGTAATGCCAATTAAATATCTATTCCCTTTGATGTACTTGGAAACTTGTCTATTTTGAGCGTAGGTTTGGAATTTAGAGTGTAAAAATCTTTTCTTTCTTTTTTTTTTTTCCTGGGCCGGATCAAACTCAGGACCTTATTACCCATCCAGATTCTTCAAATGTACACCTTACTCACAAGTGTTTGGGTGGTGTTTTACTTTTGCAGAGAATTCAAATATTCAGCAACAATTATTGTATCAGTAGGAGAATGTGAGAGCTGCTAATCCCTATTTGAAGTTGGCCACCATTGAGTCTTAATGGATATAGTCCTAGATACCAGTGTCTTAAAACTAGGGCACACCAGGGGCTAGATATTTAGCTTAGAGGTGCTGATGAGTGCCTCTCAAATGCAAGGTCCTGAGTTCGATCCCTGGTACCAAAAAAAAAAAAAAAAAATACTAGGGCACATTAAATGATCTTAAAGTGACCCATCAGAACCATACTAGCAGGCAATGTTGCCCGCCCGCCCATGGTATACCAATAGCCAAGAATGAGAAGCAGGGTCCACCAAGCCAGCAGCCATTCTGTCCACTGTGACAACAGCTAGCCCCATTCCGAAGACTGATAGGCCTATGCTGCAGCTGTACATTTGCTTTGAGAGCAGTCCATTTCTCCACTACAGAAAAGCAAACTGTTTATTATCTGGGTTATGGAATCCTTTAAGGAATCCTTTGTTTGTCCTTTAATAGATAAAATTCACAAACAAAAAAATTTACAAGCCACTTGTTATTGGCAGTGACACATAGGTGGCATTAAAGCTATTAAAATCCTTCAAGTTTCTCATTTTGTCTACTAATGCCACCATTCTTCCCCATCATGCTCCTTATAACAACCACCGAAAAAATAACAAAACCAGCTACTTTATTTCCTGTCCTTCAGTCCCAAATGCTAAGGGTGATGTGGGTACCAGGAAGTAAAAAGAAAGAGGCACTGGCTCCTCCTTAGGTCATTTATTAATTTGCTGGGTGATCAGCTTGTTAAAAAGCAAAGTTGGGAGCTGGGAATTTAGCTCAGCGGTACAAAAAAAAAGTTAAAGTTGGTAAGGTCTGTGGCAGGTGTGAGCAAGCCAAGGAGACAAAACGGTGGCGACATCTTTGGGTTTTTTTGGGTTTTTTTTTGGTTTTTTTTTTTTTTTTTTTTTTTTTTTTTTTTTTTTTTTTTTTTGGTCAGTATTGGAGATTGCATCAAGGCCTTCGCAGGGCTATATGCCCAGCCCCCTTTTTATATCTTATTTTGAGAATATTTTTCTGATTTGCCTGGACTGGGCTCAACTTGCCATCTTCCTCCCTCAGCCTCCCAGAGTACTTGGATTACAAACCCCAGCCTCAAAATCAACTTTATATGGCTTATTTTTGGAAATGAAATCAAGAATCTTTTTCTTCAGAAGAATTCTAAAAATATATTACTGAGATTATTAAGACTGAATATTATGTTCTAGGTAATTTCATAATCTTCCTTGAGATTTATACTTACAGTCTGTTTTCCTAAATGGCAGAATTACATGTTTTCTCTATGGAATCCCTGAAGACTGATTGTTCTGTGCCATTATTAAGAGTATTACATATTATACTGTGTTTACCTCTTTTTTTAACCGACTTTTTACTTTGACATGACTTTGTTCAGTAAACACTTGTATAAGCAGACATTTGTACAGGGATTTGGGTGCTCTCTTTCTGCTTTATACACCTAAAGAAACTTGATGTAAGTGAATTTTAAAGCACTTTTTTTCAACTCTGGTGTACATTAGCATCACCTGGAGAACTTGTTAAAACACAAATTCTGTAGATCCTGATTTAGGGAGACTACAGTTGGACCTGAGGATTTGCATTTATGCTTTAGAGCGTGCTGGGCCTGGACCAGGACCAGGGTCTGAAGGGTGTTGAGCTTCCAAAGCAATACGTTCTGGGGCTGTAGCAACACATTCAGAATTGTACTTATTTCTGTGTACATGGACACATTTTATAAGTGTTAGTGTCCTTTTTATGTAATGGTATGGATTCCTTTTAAGGAACATTTTATTTTAAATCAAGCTTTCAAAAATATTATAGAAAACATTGCTTCTTTTTCACTTTTATCTTTCTTGCATGCAAACACACTTCTCCAGCATTTCCAGAACTTGAAAATAACACAAATTTGGGGATATGATTAACCACAGTTCTGTATCTCAGTGCTGTTTGTTGCCATTGTTGAAATATTTGAAAACATATAAAGTGTAGCAATGAAAGTAAATTAAACTATAAATGATGTTTTGAGCAGTGAATAAATTGATGATTAGTCATTTAGCCAAAGTTCACTTTCTTTATTAAAATCTACATTTTTATATTTCTAAGGCAGGAAGAAAATTCCACAGATAACTTTTAAACAACACATTATTCACTTTTCAAAATAATTTTCCCCCTGAAGGTAAATGCAGTAGTCCCAGCAAGTAGGTCTATATATAAAATTCACGTTCTCAAGAACTGTTATTATCTATCCTGGGTTTTCTTATTTGCAGTACTTAGCTTAAATTCTGACCCTTGTGCAGATTTTTCTAAAAGGAATTTCTTATTCTTGTTCTTAAAAGTGATGCCATTCTCAATAGGTACTCCCAGCATTCTTAGGGGTATTTTTCTACTTGTGTCCTTATGGGACATCTCTAATAAGAAACTGAGTTTTCTAAGTTCTAAGTGACATAGTTTTAGAAGTAATGAACATTTTATAAAGCTCATTAATTCTCAAAGTACTCACACACCATTTGTCTTTAGTGTATTTCTCCGATATCCATGTATTGAACGTATGCTATATGGCGTGTCTTAACAGTGTTGAAAACAAGGTGAACAAACTAATTCCCAGCTTTCTGAAATTCATGATGTATGAGAAAGCAAAGAAATGCAGTCCCCCCTGTTAGTTGCTGAAATAAGCCTACCCCAGAGAGTGTGTGAAGTGCCAGGATGAGGGCAAGAGGCAGCTAGCTAACTTATAGTCGAGGTTCATTTGGAGAAGGAAAAGAAAAGGCTCTCGAGGGATGCCAAGTCATTTCACCAGACATTAGGGATAAATTGGCCCGACAGAAAGGGAAAATCTATATTGTAATCTGAAGGAACTGTGTGCAAAGATAGAATTTTTTTTTCTTACTGTGCTTTCACTGTATTCCCTATAGGCACTTATTAAAAGAAATCTAAACAAATACTTTGTGGTCTCCCAATTTTAATTAACCCTTCTCCCCTCTCTGCTCCAGTGGGGGGAAAAAATTGTCCCTCTTCTTCGTTAGACTTTTCATTAAACAAAAGTTGAATTTCTACTTAAACTTTTTGATGTTCATGTTTTGCCTTATAGGTTGTCCTGTGTAGTTGCTTCAGTACCTTTTTATTGTTGATTTTCAGGTGCTAGAAATTTGGTCTTCCAAGCAAGTATGTATAATTAAATTGGGTTGTTAGCTTGTAGGAACTCAGCCTTGCACTGTTTATCTGGTTTTAGGTGGGAACACATTTGATAGGTTCTTTCCTCGCTGGGACAAAATACATGACACCTGCAGCTTAGAGGAGAGCTTTATTTTGGCTCAGGTTTTAGAAGTTTCGGTCTTTGCATGCTTGGGCAGTCTGGTGGAGGGGCCCTGGCTGGGAGAGCTGCTGCTTATCCCAGGGCAGACGGGAAGCAGAGTGAGTAAAGCCCAGGAGCAGGGAAACAGAATCCTTCTGGGTCGCAACCACAGTGACACCCTCTTCAGACCACACCCGGCCTCCCAAGTGGGTTCAGTTCAACCTAGGCGCCCCCTCATCCAGTCACCCTTCAAAAGCCCCTCACTAAGAGCACAAGGAGCTTTTGGGGGACAGTGGGATGTAAACCTCAGCACCTGTCATTTAGTGTCTTTTCATGGCAAATGTTTTAGTAAATGCAAGGCCTCTTTCAGCCTCTGTGGGGCAATAAAAGCCAGGCGTGAGCTCCAGAGCTTCCAAAGGAAGCCTCACGCATTAGATATCACTAAACAGACTGAAGCAGCCTTCCCACATTCTGTCTGCATCACACGGATTCATTAAAGCCTGGAAAGAAAGTACAGTTTCCTTTTGCGTGTTTGTCACATCTCTCAATTCTTTTTCTGTTTGTTTTTAATAATGGTATTCTTGTGAATAGTTTATAAATTCAAGAATATGTGTGCACAGTCAAAATTGTCTTTTGAGCACAACAGTTTAGAAGTGAATGACTGATGTAAATAGCGAATATCTTAAATATGGTTTGTCAGTTGTATAAAGGAACTTACAAAATGTCTGTCGTCCTTGAAAAAAGCTCTGCAAGGTGATCTTGCACAGTAACTAGTCCCTTGCTGAAGCCATAAGCTCCTTCCCTCTCCAAAAACTGGGCTTTGATGGCCACTAAAGATTTCTTTCACTATTTGGAGAGGAGACTGGAGAACTGGAAATAGAAGCAGCTAAAACACTAAAGAAGAGTCAGTCTGTGGGACCTCAGGTCATAACTCGTGCATGTCCAGTTCTTATAAGTAAATGCACGCAGATTTCCTTCCTTTGAGAATTGTAGTGTTATAGTGTATTTGATGGTAAAAATTTAAAAAGAAAAAGTTTTCTGAAACTAATTAAAGAGTCATTTTTTAAGAAAAGGGAGATACTTATGTTTTGTTATAAAAAGATTGGTGATATTTTAAAGGAAAATAATATTAAAACATTTTTACTGTTTCTACAAGTCAAGATTCTTTTTAGTCACAAATATGTCATTAGAATGATTTATCAACCGTGGGTTTATCAGCATTTCTCATGGGTTGAGCCCCCAGGGGGGACCATAGTAAATGCTTTTTCACCTGATTGCTGTATCATTTCCCACTCATATCCCAAAAATAACCCATTAGAACACTGGGAAGAGTGTGTAGGCTCTTCTTTTTATATCCTCCTTTTCTTAACATTAAGTAGAAAAGTTTGTGGTGATTGGAGGGTAAGAGGCACATTTGTGTGTACTGGTAGCACATGTAGGGAACTTTTAGCTACGTGTGTATCCACCCTGCAACTTAGCCAGGAAGCTCAGACTGGTCAGCTTCTCATCGCTGGCACCAAGTGCCCAACGTACACAGCTTACAAGAAGAGGGCTTCTTTTTACTCACGCTTTCAGAGGATGCAGCCCCTGGTCGGTCAGAACACTGAGGTGTGGTGGATGCGTTGCTGGCTTCAGAGGCGCAAACGGTGCCTGCGAGGACGCACCTGGCAACCAGATGTTATCCCAAGGTCACCCCCACAATGCTCCCAGATCCCCAGAAATGTAGTTAGCTAATGTAGTTAGCTGGTTGTTTCTGACGCCTCTTACTCCGGTCAGGTTGGCAATCATGATTATCAGTCACACTCATATTTTTGTTTCTTTCGGGATTTTTTTTTTTTTTTTTTTTTAAACAGGGTATCTCTGTGTCCTTATGTAGTTCAGACTGGCCTCTCGAACTCAAAGTGATCCTCCTGCCTCAGCCTTCTAATGGCTGGGATTACAAGTGTGCATACCATGCCTGGTGGTCATAATCATCTTTATACCTGATTTTACCACATGATTGTAGCCTTTCTGCATTTATTTCCCTTTGTCATTTTCCCCTACAAAAAGAAAATCTTCCTAAAAGAACAATCATTTGAGGTTACTCCTTCAAGAATGTTGAAGTTAGCAAGACATGAGTGTTCTACACTACTGGAATTGCTGTTTCATTTCCAAAACTACAAAAGAACTTTGACTCTAGGCAAATTGGATTTCTAAGTTCCATTAGTAACGTACAGGCTTACATTATATGGTCCCAGGTGAGTTACCCGTCATCATAACTAAAGAATTTCTTCAACTGTTAAGATAAAGCACTGTGCTGTTTAGAAATGAAATTGGATTCTCTCTTCCAGTACATTTCAGACATGGATTTCTTTCTTTTCTGGTAGAGCTTTTAATATTGAAAGAGATTGATTTTTATTAAATTATTGGACCTGAAGGTGTTCTTAAACATGACATTTATGTGGTAATTTTGACATCTTTTCTTTAACTTGAAATTTCAGCTGATGTTCTGAGCGAAGAAGCAATATTGAAATGGTATAAGGAAGCACATGTTGCCAAAGGCAAAAGTGTTTTTCTTGACCAGATGAAGAAATTTGTTGAGTGGTTACAAAATGCAGAAGAAGGTAAGATTCCCTTTAATAACTTCAGTGGCCATTCAGCAATTTGTCATTATCCTTGCAATTATCTGCCTCCTGCATAATTTCTTTTTCTTGCTTTCCCAAAACTAAAGTTTTTGATGTGTCTCCCATATCAAATACTTTACCTTAGTGCTCCTTTCTGAAATCAAAGCAATTGAAATTTCTCGGTGATATTTATAAAAATAAAGAAAAGAAACTCTCCAGTTGTCCATCCAGATGAAAGACGGTGAGGAAAACCAGCAGATGTAGGAGGGGACAGAACACATTAGGCTCACATGCTAGGGAACTATATAGATTTCTGTAACACTTTACCAGGTAGCTAATGTTTTAAAAAGTAAGAGAAGAATCATGGATGAGGGCAAATCTAAACAAGAATGAAAGTTTATTTTAGGTGACAGAAGGAATAAAACGTTACAGTCTCCAAAAATTCTATGAGCCGGTTGCATTTTTTAGTTCAGTTCTCTTACAGCAAAAGCGCACACAAGTTTGCTGTCTGCACTCCGACGTAACTGCTTTGCCCAGTGAACAGTGGAAGCGTCCTGGGTTGGGACAGGTTGGAGGTAGTCATGATTAGAAACTCAAGATCTTACTTTAAAAACGAGACTGGAGGAAAATACCTGACTTCTCTTTCTTTTCTCCTAGAATCAGAATCAGAAGGTGAAGAGAATTAAACAGCTGGACAAGCACAATAATATCTAACACCACACTTTTTGATTAGGAATGCTGAAATATTTGGGAAGAGAAACTGGGCTTCTGTTTTCACAAAGGAAAATTAAATAGGATAGGCTTCCCTTGTGCAGAGGGGAAATGGTTTTTGTTTTTGTTTTGTTTTTAAATGGAGCCCTGAGGCATCGGCTGTCACACTTGGGACTCTACCTCTCACCTATTTGCTAACTTAAAGCCATTCAACGAGGAGTCCAGTAGTAATCAAAAATTAAATACTCAGCAGACTCCTTTTTTAGCTGTATTTTTCAGGTACTGTGTGGTGAACGCCCACTGGTGTCTATTACAGGGCCACTTTAGTAGTTGTGTATCAGCTCGTGTATGTGATTTGACAACCAGTTTTTTAAAATAAATGGCTTTTTAAAAATCTGCGCTTATATTCTCAGAGCTTTTATTTCTTTACTGTACATGACACATGCGCTTCAGTGTTACCATTTTTTTCCTCACCAAAATACTGAATGATTGCATTTCTTACCCATAAATACTGCACTATTCCTTTTATCCTCATAATAAATTTCATCTTCATAGTGAAATAGAAGCAAACTCAAAATATACATGCACATTGTCATTAGCATCATTAAGTTATTCATAATTATTAGCCATGTACATTATTGTGAGGGAAACATTTGTCATATTTTCCTTAACTCTATATATTCCCTATTTAGAGGAGAGATGAAAAGCATATACATGCCAATAGGTCTTTGTCTATATTTATTGATAACTAGATAATTTTGTAAGTCCTAATTCTTGAAAAACAAGGGAAACATTTTATCTAAGAGTTGAGACTAAAGGAGGCTGCATTAGGAACACTACTCACCAAGGTTAAGTGTTTGAAAAAATCTGTCAGTGTTGAATCATCGTCTGGGAACAAAAAATAATTTCCTGTTTATCGTCAGGAAGAAAAAATATACTTTGCCTGTGACTTGGCCACATTCCTAAATGTATAATGTGATAAATTCCTTCCACTTTTTAGATATTAAGGTCAAATGAAATTTTGAAGTTAAGTGGTAGTCACATCATAGAGGGTGTCTGAAGTCACCTTCCTCGTGGCAGGGACAGGGACAACTTAGAGGAGAGGCTTATATTGGGTCGTATTTTCTGGCCTTGATTAGGACTCCAGGGCAGAACCGGTATAGTGGAAGGATCTGCCAAAGGAAAACTGCTCCTGGCAGGGTGGCCAGGAAGCAAGACGGGAGGAGCGAGGTCAGGAGATAAATTCTTCCAGGTCACACCAGACCCTGACCTTTTGGCAACATACTTAGCTGTTAAGCTTATTAGTGGATGGGTTGGGGATTTAGCTTAGTGGTTCCTCTGCCTGCCTTGCAAGTACAGGGACCTGAGTTCGATCTCCGGTACCAAAAAAAACATTAATGGATGAATCCACTGAGTGAGAGGGAAAGTAGGGGGGAGTCTTTTTATCCAGTGCCTATTTTAAAGAATCCAGTATGTTTACAATTTTTAAAAAGTAATATATTTATTTTAGAAAGTATTAAAGGGCTTTTGGTAGAACCTTTAAAAATATTCAGTATTCAACCACAAAGAGGAACAGTCCTAATATTCTTATATTTACAAGTAAGACTGTGCGTAATTCTTTAAAAAATAAAGTCCAGGACCAGGGTCATAGCTCAGTAGTACAGTGCTTGCCTAGAATGTGCAAGGGACTGAGTTCAGTTCAGAATTCATAAGTATTAAAGGGCTTTTGGTAGAACCTTTAAAAATATTCAGTATTCAACCACAAAGAGGAACAGTCCTAATATTCTTATATTTACAAGTAAGACTGTGCGTAATTCTTTAAAAAATAAAGTCCAGGACCAGGGTCATAGCTCAGTAGTACAGTGCTTGCCTAGAATGTGCAAGGGACTGAGTTCAGTATAGTGTGTAGTGTGAATTTGGGTTTATATATTTGCATGCGTTTTACTTCCATTTTGAGTATAGTTCAAGGCAGTGTCATAGGATTATTATCCAGAATATATAAAGAACCCAAAAAAGCTAGCAAGAGAAGAACAAATAATCAATAAATGGGCAAATGATCGGAACAGACATTTCTCAAAAGAAGTACAAATGGATGATGAATACAAGAAAAAAGGCTCACCATCTATATATTTGCATGCGTTTTACTTCCATTTTGAGTATAGTTCAAGGCAGTGTCATAGGATTATTATCCAGAATATATAAAGAACCCAAAAAAGCTAGCAAGAGAAGAACAAATAATCAATAAATGGGCAAATGATCGGAACAGACATTTCTCAAAAGAAGTACAAATGGATGATGAATACAAGAAAAAAGGCTCACCATCTTTAGCTGGTAGGGAACTATAAACCAAAACTACATTGAGGCTGGGCATGTTGGTGCATGCCTGTAATCTTAGTGCTTGGGAGGCTGAGGCAAGAGGATCGCTTCCAGCTCAAGACCAGACAACTACATAGTGAGACCCTGTTTAAAAGAAAAAAAAAAAAATCCCGTTTCACCCCAGACAAAATGGCTACTATAAAAATAATACACTGCACACACAATTGTGGAAAACAGTAGGGAAGTTCCTCAAAAAACTAAAAATAGAAATACGATTTAGCTAAACTCTCCTGGGTTTATTCCTGGAAGAAATGAAATCATACAAAGGAGACACCTGCATAACTTATTTATTGTGACACTATTCACAATAGCCAAGTTAATCTAATTAGCCTAGGCACACATCAACAAATGAATGGATTTAAAAAATTTTAGGGCCCAGCATAGCGCAGGAGACTGGCAGCAGCTTGTGAGGCTCTGGTGGGCCTGCCTCTTTGGTGCAGAGCAACAGACAAGCATGGAAGCAGCAAGAGACCCTCTGGTACACCCGCCCCTTCGGCCCAACACAGCACAGGAGCCAAAAGCCGGGGTAGCTATCTTATTTGCAAACAGTACATTTCAAACCAAAGCTAATCAAGAGAGACAAAGAGGGCCACTACATCCTTGTAAAAGGGACAAGAGGAAGAAATGACAGTCATAAATATATGTGTACTGAATACTAATGCCCCCAACTATACAAAACATATTAATGGATATGAAAAACAAAAAAGCACCAATACAATTTAATGGGGGACCTCAATACTCCACTGACAGAAATAGATCATCTAGACAAAAAAATCAACAATGAGGAGCTGGGGATTTGGCTCAGTGGCACCGCACCTGCCTTGCAAGCACAAGGTCCCCAGTTTAAAAAAAAAAAAAAAAAAAAAATCAACAATGAAATAACAACTGAACCAAGTCTTAGAACAAATGGACTTAGTAGATGGCTACAGAGTGTTCCACCCCACAAAATCAGACTATACATTCTCTTTGGCTGCACACGGGTCATTCTCCAAAACAGACCACATGCTAGCTCATAGGACATGCTTAAGTAAACGCAAATTAATTGAAATTATCCCATGTATATTATCAGACCATAGTGCAGTTAAACTGGAGACCAATAGCATAAGAAACTGCAAGAATTTCAAAACACATGGAAATTAAATAGCACCCCACTGAACAACCATTCAGTCACAGAGGAAATTAAGAAATTAGAAAGTTCCTACAATTAAATGATAATGCCAATACAACATACAGGAATCTGTGGTACGCAATGAAGGCGGTTGTCTAAGGGAAATTTATAGCAATAAATGCCCATAGTAGGAAAACAACAAGCTCAAATAAATAACTTAATGCTTAACCTTAAGCTCCTAGAGAAAGGAGAGCAAGACAAACCAAAAGCTTGCACAAGAGAGGAACTTATAAAGATCAGAGCAGAAATTAATGCAATGGAGACTAAGTGAATGATACAAAAAAAATTAATGAATCAAAGAGTTGGTTTTTCAAAAGAATAAATAAAATTGATAAAACCTTAGCCAAACTTATTTAAAAAAAGGAATGAAAAGGCTCAAATTCATGCAATTAGGAAGGAATACGGTGAAGTCACAACAGATGCACCAGAAATCCAGAGGACCAACAATACCTACTTCAAAAACCTGTACTCTAACAAAACGGAAACTACAGAAGAAATGGACAGATTCCTAGATATATATGAACTTCCAAAGTTGAACAAATAAGATATAAAAAGCCTAAACACTTCAATTACATTCAGTGAAATTGAAAATGTAATTAAAACATTACCAACAAAGAAAAGCCCAGGTCCTGATGGCTTCACTGATGAATTCTACAAGACATTATGACAAGAACTATGACTCTTCAATGAAATTGAAAGGAAAGTAATACTTCCAAATTCCTTCCTGGAAGCAAGTGTTACTTTGATTCCAAAACCAGGGAAAGACCCAACCAAAAAAGAACTACAAGCCAATCTCCCTAATGAACATAGATGCAAAAATTCTCACTATGATGCTGGCAAGCAATACAGAAGATCATCAAGATCACGCTGACCAAGTCAGATTTATCCCAGGCATGCAAGGGTGGTTCAACATGTAAATCAATAATGTAAAGCTATATCAACAGAGTCAAGGACAAAAAAACCATATGATCATCTCAATAAATGCAGAAAAAGCATTCAACAAAATTCAACACCCATTCATAATAAAACCCTACAGAAAATTGAATAGATGGTCTTTATCTCAACCTGATAAAGGCTATCTATGAAAAACCAACAGCCAATATCATACTAAATGGTCAAACACTGAAAATCTTCATGCTAAAATCAGGAACAAGACAAGAATGTCCACTATCACCACTTCTGTTCAATATAGTTCTAGAAACATTAGCCACAGCAATTAGACAAGAGAAAGAAATAAAAGCAATAAAGATAGGAAAGGAAGAAGTTAAATTGTCACTATTTGCTGATGATATGATACTCTTTAATTAGAAGACCCAAAAAACTCTGCCAAAACACTTCTATACTTAAGTGACAGATTCAGTAGAGTAGCTGGATACAAGGTAAACACTCAAAAATCAGCCTTTTTGTACACAGCAGATTCACTGAGAGAGAAATTAGGGAAACAATTCTTTTCAAAAAGCATCCAAAAAAATGGAATACCTAGGAATCAATCTAACGAAGACAAAAGACCTCTACATTGAAAACTATAGAACTCTGAAAAAAAGAGATTGAAGAGGATATAAGAAAATGAAAAGATATCCTTCGCTCCTGGGAAGGAAGAATCAATTTAGTGAAAATGGCCATACTTCCAAAAAGGCTATACAGATTCAATGCAATCCCAATTGAAATCACAAAAGTATATTTCACAGATCTTGAGAAAACAATCCAAAAATTAATTTAGAACCAGAAGATACCTAGAATAACAAAAGCCACTCTAGTCAACAGAGACATGGCAGGGTGTATCACAATTCCTAACTTGAAACTACACTACAAAACCACTGATAAAAACAGCATAGTGCTGGCAAAGAAACAGACCCAAGAAT